TTAATTAACATTAAAAAGTATAAAATTTGATATTAAATTAATTATTAATGTCAATTAATTATTTTAATTAGACAATTAATTTAAATAAAAGTCAATTTTTTTTTAATTCTACTTAATTTAAAAAAATTAACCATTTTACTTTTAACTTGTATTCTAAAAAGCATAAATTAGAAAAAAAAAACACTCAAAAGAACAACAATCCACATCATAAGCCAGTTAGGCTACGTAAGAGTTGGGTGCAAAACTTTTAAGGGTGGTGGTATTAGAACAATTTTTTTATTATATTTTTTTATACAATTTTTATATATTATTAAATGAGTGGATGCATTTAATATTACGAATTTCATATAAATCAAAAGAATCAATTATTTGAATAACATATCAGATTATAAAAAAAAATAATTATTCCGATAGTATTTCCCAAACTTTAATTAGTGGTCATCAATCATAATAGTAGCAGGATATCTACAATAGGTTGGGGGCTCGGCAATTTTGTGGTTTGTAAGTTTGATTCGTATGCGTGCGAGTTTTCTATTTTAAATTATGGAATCCGTAGACTGACTTTTTGGTTAAAAATGTAATTTGATAAATGGTAGTCGGTATTAATCTCTTCTTTATGGTAGTATTAATTTTAAATTAATAAGTTATTAATTTGAGTAAAAGAAATTTAATTATTTTGAAATAAAATTTTAAATTTAAATTTTATGAATAAAAAAATAAATACTAAAAAAACTTCTTATGTGGATTTAATATAATTGTAATAATTCAATTCTAAATTAATTAAGGTTTAATGTAATTTTTAAATATTAAAGAATTGATAAAAAAATAGTAACATTAATTTTAAATTTATTTATCAATAAAAAAGTAAATTTTAAATATACTTATTAAATAAAAAAAATTTAAAAATCAAAAAGTTATAACGTCTTAATAATTAATATATTAAAATAATAAAATAACAAAATATTTTAAATAAATTTATAGATAAAAATTTATTTAAAATAATTAAATAATTTCATAAATAATCATGGTACAAATACCATGATTTTCATTTCTTTGTAAAAAATTAAAAGAATTTACTTACTTATTATACTCCATCTTTTTCTATTAAGAATGTTTTTTAATTGTTAATAAGAGAATTACATGTGGGGTGGTTTAATGAGACATTTTGGGATTAAGAAAACTTTAGATATTTTGAATGATACATGAGAGGGTGTGATAAAATATAGAGTGACGAATTGAGTAATATGCCAATCAAGCCAACAAAGGGCACAAGAAAATTGTGTTTGAGGAACAGATCAATTCAAGCACTTCCTAGTATGAATTGATTTGACTATTCCTTAATGCAGTAAGATTCGGTGGAATTGGTGTTTGATTGCCATAATTATTCTGAGGAAAAAAATGTGAAACTAGCAGTGGTGGAATTTACTCATTATATTGTGGTGTGGTGGGATCAGTGACTATTGTTTTTTTATTGTGATGTTAAGTTCTTTAGTTACTTTTGGAAAACCTTATGGGGAAAGTTGGAAATTAAATTATTTTTTTCGACTACTTGTTATCCACAAACTGATGGACAAATAGAAGTGGCCACGTCAAGAGATCCATTACATATTTCAAGAGCTCCAGTCGCAGGAGTCATAGCTAAAAATTACCAAAAGTTGAGACAACTTGAGACCAATTACCAAAAGTTAGCCACTAATTTTAAGAAGAGGAAGTCCCCACGTTCCAAGATTTTCCTTATTATT